TCGTAGATACATACATGTGTGAAGGGTTCCTAAAAAACAATGTGGATCCCCATAGTTTCTGTGTTCAAAAAAATTTTAATTGCTACCTCAGACCGTTTTCGACTATGCCCCGCCTAGCTAGCCTATCAAAATCGTGAAAAAAAATTTTTTCCACAAAAGTGGTAGAAACCCGGCGGATTCACCCTTCTACATTTAATTGATCTTTGAAAGCTGCTTTGCTTGTCTCTTATTTTTTGAAACTTACCTATTTTCGAAGGAAATAGTGAGTGTAAGTTTTTAGTCGAATTTTTGTGATTCATCCTCTCCTCGCTCCCGATTACAGATCTGAACAATCGAGATAAAATAATGGATATTTATAACATCCTTATTTACCACTTAATTCAATGCTTGTAATAATAATAAAAAAAAATTACGAAAATGAAAAATAACGAGTGAATAGCAAAAAATAAAAACGAAAATTAGGGCGCCCGTACAAAAAAGGAAAACAATATTTATGCTTGGCGCATAGAAATAAAAAAGATAGCGTTTGCTGGCAGTCGATCATAATAGGAGAAGAACTATCGTCTTTTAACGATTTTATACTGTATATTTTGTATTAGTATAATGAACAAGGAGGAAACAGCAGACTTTGTACTTGAAGATAATTTACATTACTTAAACGCACTTCAAGCTACTTCAAAGTACTCTCATATAATTTCAAAGTGCTTTGATGTACTTCAAGTCTGCTGTTTCCTCCTTGATAATGAACCTTAAGAAGACATATGAGTTCCACATTTCAGCCCCAAAGAGGCTGTGCTAACAATTTTTTTCTAGAATAAATTTGATTTTGAGTTTCCAAACGCAAAAAGCATCAAGTTCAGACGTTAGCAATATATTGATCATATTTTGCTAGATTTCTTTCTATTGATTTTCATAATAATTCGACGTTTAGTGGCCGGTTGAGCACTTATTCGAAAAGCAGTACCTTGAAATTTTAATTCAGGTGCGAAATGATTGAAAACTTTGACAGCTTGTTTTATTAATCTATCTGATGGCCGATATGTACCCGAATTATTATTTAATAGAAATTGACCATCGTCATCACGCCACAATTCACCTGCAAATCTAACATTTGTAGATCGATTTGATAATGTTATATGTTTACAAAGAATATGATATGGTACATGACGCATACGAGGAATTCGTGAAAATATTAAACAATTATTAGTGATTACAAAATTATAACGTAATGCTGAATCATTTTTTGATAGTAAATTTTCTAGAAAATCTTTAAATAATATTAAATCAGATAATTGTTCAACATTGGAACTTAATTGAGATCGAGAAGCATATATAATTGGTTTGGAATAAAAAAAATAATGTTTGACCAAATTTGTCAATGTTGTGGAAACAAAAGCCTGAAGTTTATTTGGAAGATATTGGTCAATAATATCCGATGGAATATTCAATGTATATATAGAATGTTCATGAAAAATACTCTCAGTAAATTGACCCAATCGTGAAGGTAACGATTTACATCCTTTTATTTCCATATATGTGTCAAGCGTTATATTTCAATCAATATTATGTCAATGATATTTATTTGATGAAAAGGCATTTTCCGACAAGCTAAAGATATAGGGTGTCGTCTTGTTTTGCATCAATGCACATTCACGTGACAACTATTACACATTATGTAAAAGAATGATTCGTTGATCATTCTTTTACTGATTATTGTACTATGATGCATGACGTTAATATGTATCGCAAGTTTTTATCATATTATATTGATATTACCTTTTCTTTTGAATTAATCATTATTTCGAACTTTTTGTTTTTCAATTTATAATTTGAAATTCAAAGTTTGAATTTTGTTTTAGTGAACAGAATAATTATTTGATTTTGTCAAGAAGAATATTCAAAATTGAGCAATAGAACTCAATATTGAAATATTTCGATGTAATATCATAATGATTTTTGTTATCGTTAGTCAATTTGTTCTTTGTTATAATATTTCTTAAAGTGATCTGGTAATAAATATATTCAAATTTCATTAAATATTCGTTGATATTGTGTTTATTGACGAGTGATGATCAAATACACAATGTTTCAATGTTAACCATAATTGTTCATCACGAATAATATGAACAAAATAACAAGTTTCAAAATCTCAATTGACAACTTCAGAAAAGAGTTTCATAAACATACATTATATAGAAAGAAAATTAAAAATGTAATATTATTCTATAAAGTCGATTGTCGTTCAATTTCATTTGAAAAAATTGTTTCCTATTGAAACATAAGGGAAAAAGTACTTTTGATCACCAAAAAAAGATACTTTTGATCACCACAACCCTTTAGATACTTTTGATCACCAGAAAACAATACTTTTGATCACCATTTTTTCATTTCTATTTTTATAATTTCTTATTTGATGTAAATAAACGATAAAAGGGTAAATCTGTAAGTTCTGTTTTATGTGCTTAAAGTGAGTTCGATTTATTCCGTACACACTTGACACGATGTATATCGGAAAACGCTTGGAAACAAACAAAGAGCACGAAAAGAACGAGAAGAGAGGACGAAAAATAGATCTGACTATATAGATGATGAT